CACAATCTACTTGTAATCTTGAGTTTTAAGTAATATGCATTAATAAACAGTAATTTCCGTATAAAAAGTAGTTTTTAAGAGTTTTTGTCAAATGCTTTATAATATAGTATAGATTAATTTTTTTTAATTTAATTTAAGTTTAATAATGAAATAATTTATTTTTTTGATTTAATAATATAAAATTTTATAAAGATAATAATTAAGTATTTTGTTAAAACTCAATGATTATCTTAATTATATCTTAGATTTTTTATATTTAAAATAAGATGTTTATCTTGTATTTGATTGTGTTTATCTGCAGTTAGTTACACGAATTCAGTTATGGGATGAAATCGGATAGRGATKAAYGGGTTTAAGAGTTTTAAGAGTTTAAGAGTTTTAACCAAATGCATTATAATATAGCATAGATATATAGGTTTGATGGTTCGTTAAAACAATATGCAAGTATTAAAGTATAAGTACGTAATTACGGACATAACGAGGAACATTGCGTTCTTAATTAACCTTTTGTTGGAGATGAATATCAAATGTACATAAACCCGACTTTTACTCCAAATATTAGAGTACCAGTTCTCGTGAATACCTCGGCTTGTGCATGAATATGAGCATACATGTAGAAGGAAGAAAGACTACGGGGCGATTCCGTATACTGCCAAAACGGCTTCATCCCGAAATTAAGTCCAAAAACCATGACCTGAAAAGTCCTTGGGCCTGACTGATTCGAATGATTTTTGCTCTTGGAAAACACGCACAGAACAAGAAAAAATTGCACGAAGGTGCACCCGACTTGGCTTGAGAAACACACACACATCAAACTCGACAAAAGTAACATTTTAGTTTCCCTTCTCGCAAGTTAACCCCTCGGGTTTTTTCGCAATTGAAGAACTAGACATTTGAAACGTGATAAAAAATAGATAGAGAAGATGTATATGTGAAGATGATACACATACAGTCGTCTTGCACATAAGGATCCACGAAATGGTACACAATCAAAATCAAACCTTACATAGCAGTATAGCACTGATCTTGATCCAAACAAAAAACGCTATTAGTATATCGCCGTTAAAACGGCTTCCCCAAGCACATGCCCATCGATTGTATCAAGTAGCTTATCCTTTGTCACCTATGTACAAATAAAAAAAGGATTAGCCAAGAAGACATGTAAAGCTACCAAAGGGTCATTGACCCAACAATACACGAGATACGAGAGCGCCCGCTATCATCAAGAGTTCAAACCTTGCTGAAGAGTGGGCAGGATTATTTAGACCAAAAGTCTTAATTATTTAGACCAAAAGTCTTAAAGCATAAAGTACTATCAATTTATGCATGATATTCAAAAATCTCTAAAGTACAAATTATTATGCATAATTCACAAATGCTTGCATCATTCCATTGGTTTGGCCAAAGTTTCAAATTTAAGTAAACCATATATACATATGTTTGGCCTTCCTAAAGTTGTTTGACACTTTATTTGTTTCCTATTTTGAACCAAATTCAAATTCAAGGTTCTTCTTTCTCATGGAGTAAACTGAAATTTGAAGCAACAATATCATAAAGAGTTTCAGAACCTGCATACACCCCACCCAACCTTTAAACTTTATATGGGTTTAGAAACTGAATATATGTGCAATTATTTTTCCAATCAATCTTGCTAATACAATATACTAACCTTCAATTTTATATATTAGTTGACATGATTCAAGGTTAAACTAATGTTTTAAAATTATGATTCACCGGTGCTACATCGTACGGACACACCACTAGTATATAAATATTTATATATTCTTCAAAAAGAGAAGTAAAGATACTTCTAAAATCAAGAAATGGATTTTTACCTTATTTCCCAAATCAATTTCATCATCCAACGCATAAAGCTTGAACTCAAATCGATGTCCAGGCGACGGCATCTTCGGGCCACGCCATCCCGGTACCTTAAAATCGTTGTTTCCTTCCTTAATATTAGCATAATCGTCACCCTTGCCCTCTTCTCTGCCGGAAAATCCCTCGGGCAATCCTTTCAAGGTGGGTGGTATATTGATCACCACCCATAAAGTCCAAGGAACGATCGGATCATTAGGGTCCGGTGCGTCGATATCCTCCACTACTAGTGCTAATGTTTTCGTCCCATCGGGAACATTGTACCATTCTATCGGCGGCGATATGTCTTTTTGTGCCCCTGAAATATGTCAAATAAACAAGTTAACGGTTTATCTATATCTATATCTATATTAGGGTTGAATTTACGTGAGACTATGAGTTTTTCGTGAGACCTGTAAAAACAATTTATGTTTATTGATCAATTTTATAAGCCAATGATCTAATAATCTAAAATTGTATGATGATAATTCTGTGATTATTGAAAAGTCTCTTAACAATTTTGTAATTACGAATGTTCAGATTCTAAATCTAATTCAAAGGTTGAGAATTGAACATATGAATCTTACGAAAAACCACCCTTGATCTCACATGTTCCCAAATCTATATATCTATATATATATATATATATATGAAATATATAATACCTTGACCTTCGGCGGTGTATTTTCGTGGAAGCCGGCCTTCATGATCGATGCCAGAAGATGCGACCCTGAACTCATCACTTGCGTTCGCCATTGTTGGACCTTCTACTTTCAGAATCTTGTTTTTATTCTTCGTTAGGTTACCTGATAATTTTGTGCTGTAATGTTTGATCAAGATGGTAATATAGAAGTGTCGTAGATGAATAGGGTTTTGTGGGTTGTTGACACGTGTAATGAAGAGTTCTAAGCAGGCTCGAGAAGCTGCTGCCATTTGACACGTGACAACCACGTGGTATCTACAGTCTACAAAGAACCACACCCACGAGTTTTCCGTCGACATCAATATTTCAGTTTCTATGCTTGCAATAGTATCAAATATCAAAAACTATGTCTCCATGTTGTGTTTTCTCATTTGTATTCCTACAAACTAGAAGGATACCCACGATTGTTTTCTCAAAAAAATATTCCCGAATTACATTTTAATTTTAATATTTTGATTTTATCGATATTATAATTGATTTTATATGGTTTTAA